CTTCATTTTAGATTGAGATTCCTGTTGCTCTGCCACCTACCAGCTCTCTAACCTTTAATGATTCTTTGAACTGAGCTTATTGTCTAAACCTGAACCCCCAAAATATGTATCATGTTAGTTGTTTGAAAATGTGCGTTATAAACATTTGCTACTTTTATTATTACTGTCATTTTATTTTTACTCAGGAAATGCACAGGTTTTGTTTTTTAACTCACAGATGCTCACATCGTGGAATGGTCCCCGAGGGGAGAGAAGTATGTAGTTGTCACACTGGATAAAATAGATGTCTATCATCTTGACACGGCAGCTGTCAGTGGCACCATCACAAACGAAAAGAGAGTATCTTCTGTTACGTTTCTTTCAGTAAGTAATCAGAAATCAGTGGTGGGTGTTTAGTGTGTATGTGATGGTCTGAATTGTTTGATATTCTGGATATTATTCTTTTTCTCTCTCTTAGGAGTCTGTCCTTGCAGTGGCTGGAGATGAAGAAGTTGTAAGATTTTTTGACACTGATTCATTAATGTGCCTCTGTGAATTTAAAGCTCATGAAAACAGGTATTTTTTTAACCAATTTATTGTGTATATGTGTACAGCCTCAACAAATATTATATGCAGTAGTTTCATAAAGCGGCATATATGTTTTATGAACAATTGCAGAGATAGAGGTATCTGCATATATATATGACATCCAGAGTCTGAGAGTATGATGAAAGTGTCTTCGTGGCCTTAGTAAATGCAAAAGTGATAAAATTGTTGTTAGGGTCGCCGAAGGAGGGACGCACGAGGCCAAAGTGGTAAGGGATTATAAATTTATTAGCAGATGGGCTGAGCCCCTAAATGGCACCAGCCCCCAAAGACGGTGAGTCAGATGGTTTTAAGGACTCTAGGCGGGCTTCTTCTGGGCACAGAATTCTCTATGCAAGTGTGGATTCTGGGAAACTCCAGAAGGGAGAGATAATGGTCTTAGCAAGTGGAATGTGGTCTAAGCAAGTGGAATGTCCATTGAGAAGTCCCAGGGGAGGTGGTATCAATTCAATTATTTGATCAGACCTAATAGTTGTCATCAGGACTAGTCACTCGCACAAGATACTTTTCTAATGATTTCATTAGTCTTGGTGCCTGAAATCAACCATATTTGAACAGGAAAAAATAATTAAACAATCTTGAGCTTTGCCCCTGACCACTCTTATCTTTTTACTTTATTCCCCTTTGTCCACATCTTCCTTCTTTATACCCCACTTGTTTTTCCTGCAGAAGAAATACTGGGCGTTATAGACTTCTGTTTTATGTCAGTCTCTTACCTCATACTGCTCACTATTTCTAAGGGTAGAGTCTGAGTCTCAGAGTAAATAGTTAAGTGACTTTGCTCTTACTCTTGGGGCCTGAAATCAACTGTATTTCCACTGTTAGCTACTGGAGGTGGGATCCAAACCCGGTTTTATCTGACTCTGCCCCTGCTTTTCCCATTATAATTTTGAAAAAGGTTATACTTTAATATGCTTCATTTGCATGTTCTACATCTTAAGTAAGTCTTAGTTCTTACCGTATTTTCAAAGTAATAGGTTTTAAGAAACCTCTCTTTGTAAATATAGTACTCAGAATACTGCAACCACTATACAGACCTAGTTAACATGATCAGGAAAGGGGGAGTGGGACCTAGGGATGAAAAAGGAACTATTTTTTTTAGTATATTTTTATTGACTTCGGAGTGGAAGAGAGAGATAGAAACATCAACGATGAGAGAGAATCACTGATCGGCTGTCTCCTGCATACCCCACACTGGGGATAGAGCCCGCAACCCAGGCATGTGCCCCCAACCGGAACTGAACCCTGGACCGTTCAGTCCGATGCTCTGTCTAACAGAGCCAAACCAGCTAGGGCAGGAACTGTTTTTAAAAAGAGGAGAACCGAAACCGGTTTGGCTCAGTAGATAGAGCGTCGGCTTGCAGACTGAAGGGTCCCGGGTTCGATTCCGGTCAAGGGCATGTACCTGGGTTGCGGGCACATCTCCCGTGGGAGGTGTGCAGGAGGCAGCTGATCGATGTTTCTCTCTCATC